CACAAGACGATGACGAAATGGCACAGGGGAATGCAGCGTCGTCACATCTTCAGGGCCCTGACGATCTGCAAAGCACAGTTGCATGGCTGAATCATGTCAGCACTTGTCGATCACCAACACGAGGCTCCATGAATAGGATTGCAATGCAAACGATTATCGTATATCTCGTAGGTATCGTATGTTCTTGTGCGTCCTCAATGCGCTAGGTTGCCTCTCAGTGACTGTCACAGGGCGTGCTCCTCGTTCAACCCATCGTCCATTGTGCAACACCACCGAAGCTCATTCCGACCCTTCCTTTTCTCGCATGGTATTGCTGAATCGTAAGTCCTCTAGCGTCTTCATTATCATAGGTGGTGACAGTATAGATGCTGGCCTTCTGACCTGGTCGACCGAGATCTGCGATAGGTACGTCGAGCCACCAGACCTTGTCGCCCTGCTGGAACGGGATATGGTTTCGATTCGTGCCATCCAGAGCTTCCGTATGTAGCACGTAGAGGTAATAAGGTCCTCGGCCATTGCGCACAGGATCCCAATGAGGACACACACTCTGAAAGCTGAAACGAACAGTTGGACCCTGCTGGGAAAGGACGATTGGACAGTCAGTCGGTCGAAGACTGATACTGCTCACACCCTCTTCCACGGTGAAGCCATTCCATACAGTTGCAGCCGTTCCATTCTTGTTGATGGTCATGTACTCCTCCCAGCTCATGATGCGACCGTCATTCCGGTATTGCCGTGAGGAGTCCTCCGGATAATGGCTGAGGCCAAATTCATCGTTACTTTTGGTAAAGTTGGATGGCGAGAAGTGCTTGTTGTATGGCTGGCCGCGTCCCTTGACATTGCCCGCGCCCCAACACGGATCGATGAGCTTCCAGGCACCACCATCAATCTTGACAGCGTTCCATGCGTGACCAGCTTTATAGGGCGGAACTGAGGCTCCAGGCTTCAGTGGTTCATAACCGAAGCCTTTACCGTTACCTCCCACGACGACCGCCTCGAGTCCAGACTTGAGAGCTAAGATGGCAAAGAGCGCAGCATAGCCTTCACATACAGCAAGACCGGTAGCAAGGGTGGATTGTGGTGTGCTGCGCTGCACGTTATTGTTGAAGAAGGCCACCGTGTCATAATCGATGTTATGGTGCAGCCAAGTGAATATCACTCTCGCCTTATCTGTGTCTGATGTGAAAGGTGCAGTGAGCTGCTGAGCCAGCCAGCCGAGGTCTTGCGACGGCAGTGTTTGTCGAGGGAATCTAGCTGCATGGTTATCAGGGGCAGAAAAGTCTCTACACAAGAGACATGCTCCCGCAGGAGCTGGGTGAGGTGGTGTTCCGTTGATCTGAGGCTTGCTAGCTTGAAGAGCTGCGAGATCTGGACGTGATGCAGTAGGGATTGGAGGCGGAGTGTTATCTGCTCGAGACCGATCAGGCAGACCTGGCGCTGCCTCCTTCTGAACATGACCAAAGCCCATGCTGAGTGCAGATCTTTTAGCGGGCGGTGGTGCAGCAGGACGTCTTGGCAGAACAGGTGTTGGTTCGTCCACTGCTTGCGAGGTGTTGCGTTTGGGCAGTGTTGGACCTGCTTGCTGAATTGCATTCCGTGCCGGTAGTGCAGGTGCTGATTCGACGGGCTGTCTCACGCTCCGCGCTGGCAATGTCGGCGCTTGCTCCTCTTCCACTTGTGACACTATATCAGACTTGCTGAAAGGTATGATCTGTCGAGCTCCGGCCGGTACGCCCTTCGGCAGTGAGGGCTGTGCTGGGAGTATCTGCTTCGGTCCAGCTGGGGTCTCGGTCTCGAGCTTTGCTGGCAAATTGCCAATCGTGGGTACGGAGGCTGGAGGTCTTGTTTGTGACCTTTCGAGTGGTCGTGGTGCTTCACTCCGTGGCGTCGAGGAAGATGACTTTCTGTTCTTTGGGAACCTCGCTGCTCTTGCTGCGGCATCCTTCTCTTCTTGTGTCCTCTTAGGCGGTAGCTTAGGTAGTGCAGATGGATCGTATTCAGGAGCACGGATGGTGTAGCAACCTGAACCAGAGGTAAAGGAAGTGCCGTTAGACATGGTGGAAAACGATGTCTCTGCTGTGGCCGTTGATTTCATAGACTCGTTACTGTCTCTTCGACTGATAATCATGTCTGATGGCTTTCTGCTGTGCGAAGAGGGTGTCTCTGACGGTCTACGAGATGGCAGCGCTGGTGACTTAGCGGCGGGGCGGGATGGTAATGCTGGAGGAGGTGGCCTGGATGTAGAGGAGCGTGTTGGAAGTGCAGGTGCTTGTGATGAGGCTGTTGACGAGCGCGTCGGCAGCGCTGGTCGTTGTGGCAGCTGCGGTAGCTGAGGAGCTTGAGGGACTTCTTGATGCTGCCATTTTCCGTCAACGTTCACCCACTGTTTCTGAACCTCCATCATCTTGTTGACGGTTGTGTTGAGGATGCTGCCGATGTAAGCGATGCGCACAACCGTCAAGTCGTTGAATGACGGTGTGTGTGCATGGAAACGGGAGTTGATCCTGCGACGAACGCACGATATATGGTTATGAGCTGGAATCGAAAGTGTAGATGCGGGATGAAGCACAGCCACGAAATCCTTCCCATTCTGAGCCCAGCGGTGGTGCAGATACTACGCCTTGAATCATTGCATAGTTGCGCACTCCAATGCCGCAGCACCCAGATATATCAGGATGATGGGATTCTCTCTGGTCAACACTGCGTTTGTACGCTTGAAAATCTCGAGCGAGCCGTCCTTTTGATGTCGTATTTGTCGTCCTCGTCTACTGGTTCGTTGTGCATGATAGGAAGTGTTAGTACTAAAGCTCGATCTGGATCGCAGGAGTGCATGCGTGGATCACCATCTTTGCTGAGTCCTGTTCGCTGTTGTCGATGTATGTGGACGCGCCGACGGTCAATCTCAGTCGTTGGCCTTTGAAGCATCAAGGTTCAATGCATCTCGTTTCTGTTGCAACAACGCTTTGGCTCGAGCACGCTCCTCGACATGAGAGATCTTGATCTCAAGCTCAAGCTTGCGATTGGTCAGCTCCTGTCGAAGTGTCTCCATCTGCTGAAGTCTTTCTGTCGGTGATGCTTGGACGACTGCTCGCTTTTCGGTATCAGACTTCAGTGTCGCGCCAGTGATCGCTCCTACTGAGGCTAACGCAGCTGCTGAACCAGCGAAGATGAAGCTGCGATATTTCTGCAATCCTGTCGCGGCCATGTTGGATGTGCAAATGGGAAAGTGGTTGACGGAGCAATTCGACACAAGCAACTTTTGAAGCTTTTGGAAACAACCCGCGCGTCTTGGACGCGATGCTTCACAACCAACACATCCCAACACCATGTCGTATCAACCACGAACACCAGGCGTGACACAGACACAATCCGCTTTACGCAGCTCTACTGCACCTTCAGCTAAAGCTCGACAACTCTCCCATCTAAATGCTCAGCTAGCACAGCTCACGGCTAACATGAGCGATCTTGAGAACCTTCTCCGGATGACATCTGTACAAGCAGAGGCTATGCGCGGTTTAGGAGGGTACACCGCTGCACTGTAAGTCAACACATGGGTCTATCGACATAGCTAACTCGTACTTAGCTTCATGGCATCGTCTAAGGTCCTTGGAGAAGAGACAGTCAACAACTCAACTGCGGAAGCAGTTGACGATACAGAGACTGCAAACAAAGGATGATTTGACTAGACGGAGGGTGCTAGAGGAGGATCATGTACTTATGATCGTCGTCCCGAGACAGAAGCACCTTTATGCAATTAGCTCGGCCAGCAGTTCCAGGACTACTTCGACTACGCTGAACACCCACAAGACCATGGTTGGAGAGAAAGTCATAGCCCACAGACAAAGCACGAGCTGCTGCACAAGTGCATGCTTTGCATGACCCAGCTAGCCAGAAATTGGAGACAAGCCTGCTACCATGTCAACCACTACTGCAGGTTCGAAGCAACCTACACTTCTCAAGGACGATGAGTCTAAGCGATACCGGTCTCCCGTGTAACGATCTATGGTCGCTGGCAAGATATGCCTCCACTATGACAGAGTCGGGAGGTCAGCACTGCAAGGCGTCCAGACACTTTGGATGCAAGGTCGTGCTACTGCATTTGCTGTCGCGTTTGGTGAATGCTGAAGTCGATAGATACTACGAGCAACACTTTTCTCGTCAAGCTTACGATGAACGTGTTCACTGGTTGGCAACGATCTAACTCAAATCGCTTCCGAGGCATATCTGTGATTGTGTAGCTAGGCAGGATATTTGTACTTCGATTGTATCACGTAACAAAGATCCTTTCCTAATCATTGGCGATGTCCAAGACTTCAGGAGCAGCTCACAAGGCATGACAGATATGAATGATACCAATGCGACCTCGACTCAACTGGTGAAAACGACATACACCACACCATTGTGGCTAACCATCGTGTACAGGAGCGATCGGCCACTGTAATCAGACTGAAGGCTGAAGTCTTGACAGACCTGACGTACATCCGCAAGCCCAGTGTCTTCCAAGGTTGCTCTGGGACTCGACAGATGACCCTGTCGCCGTGCCAGCCACACAGAGCACGTTCTTGCATTGTAGAATAGCAATGAGACAGGATTATCGTACGGGTCTGACATTAAGGATAGTATTGGTCAGACAGAGCCCTGACATCTGTCGATCTCACCGTTCACTTGGTCCTGGTTGGCCGTTGACAATCTGCTGTATTCACTGGTCCTGGTCAATGCTGGTCCGGTGCATAGACAAGCTAAGTTTGAGGCCGTGATCTCCTCAAGCAAAACTAATGCTGGCACGCCAGCTTCATTAGCTCTTCCATACGTTGTTCTAGCATCGCCGGCTGCAGAGCATCGCATAGAGAAACAAAAACAAGTGTTTGTGAGCATCGGAGGTCACCCATGCCTTGCAGAGCGCTAGAGACATCGCACTCTAGCCCAGAATTTCGTCTCATCTCATTCTCGACCAAAAATGACAAAAAAAACTCAGCGTCGAGGTGTAGTAACTTAGGAAGAGCCCTACGTGGGGGTCGAACCCACAACCTTGAGATCGTGCTCTTATTTAAGAGTCTCACGCTCTACCGATTGAGCTAGCAAGGCCAATTGCTAGTTATTCGCTGATGGAAGCCGAAAGCAAAATTTGGTATAAGGCGCTGCAAAATCTGACAGCGACGATCAGGAGGCAGGGTCCAGGCCGTTGGTCATTCATGGTCCCACCCCAGAGGGCAGGCAGCCTTTGTGGGAGACGTAGATGATCAGAAGTCTTGGTTTCGCCCTTGGACACCGACGACGACGACGATGAATCTGAAGTTGAGATGTTGAGTCCGGTCGTGTCGATACAAAGCAGCAGCAACAGCCACTAGGACTGCGTTGCTATCTTGGAGCTGTAGGAGTACTCGATCTTGAAGAGCTATATGTCGTTCGATGTTTGTTAGGGCGCGACGATCGGATCATTCTGTGTGTCTGTCATCGTTAGCTAGGCAGTAAACTCACAATGCTTTGCCAGGTACATATCTGCTGATGACGAGACATTCAGTCTTCCGAGCGAATATCGGTAATCGTTTGAATTCAAGCTCATCGTTCAGCACGTACATCGGCTGTACTAGACGGAACGTAGACGAGACCGGCTGGCAACACTTGCAGACCTCAGCCTTGGCGTATGGTATGAATAGCCCAACCTGATTCCTGCTTGTGCTCAGAAGGACACGACCTAGCTGGTGTCGTATTTGTTTCATGTCGAGACCGGCAAGTGCACTGATTGCTGGATGCGCGACGGTTTGGCGATACGAGGTCAGGAGGACAACGGACGAGCAGATTGAACTTGCTCAAAGACATAGGTGAGTGTCATGAAACATGTATACCGCAGAGGTAAGTGTTGTTGTGGACGAGGTGAGGTTGGCTGCACGCTCTTGCCTTGTCAAGACGCTCGAAAGCCAAGACACTGCAACCGCGCACAACACCACCACAACAACACAAGAAAGTCTCTAGCGATGCACGACCATCCCACCCTTCGCAACATAAAGGCACTCTTCGTGCAAAAGAAGTATCGACAGTGCATTCACGTTTGCGAGACACTGCTAGACGACTGTGACGATGATCTCTGTCTGTACATACACTTCTACCTAGCCATGGCGCATGACGACCTGGCTCGACAGATGTACGACCGATCCAGATCGAAGTCTGCGCGCCTCGCACTGGCTGAGGAGTATTACGAAGAAGCACTCAACCTGGTCGCCGATGTCCAAAGAGAGTACTGTATCATGTCTCCGCAACGACTACCTCGAGCCGCGTCTTCTATGTCTCTACTAACGACCTCGTCGTACACCCTGGGACCCAATATACAACTGACAGAACATGCGAGGGCTATGAGAGAGCAGATACTTACACATCTGACACTGGTACAAGAGGTAAGAGCACGAATTGATGAAGTCCGGAAGAAGAGGCAAGCTTCGCCACGCACACCAACCTTGCAATCATCAAAGAGCTTCTGGCTGTTCACTCCAGAGACCACAAGGTCATCCGAGAAGCAGTCGCGCATAGCAGAAGGCAAAGCGAGAGAATGGAAGAGAGAGCGATTCCAGCCGGATCGATACATACTTCTAGCTGAGAAGGCATTGGCAGAGCTTTAACAACGACGGGTCTGGAGAACGTAGTTATGTGGTACTGCTCGAGGAGAACCATCGGCGTATTGGATGACGGAGTGTCTAAGGAATGTCAGCAATGATCTCAAGTATCAATGATGTATGCAGCGAGGTTGGGTGCAGTCAGTCTCCCTTTTCTAAACATTGACATTTGCAAGCATTTGTCGATGCTCGCGATCATTCATACGGCTCTTCCTATAGCTGAATGGGTAGATATATTCTCATCTTCGTAGGCTGGAAAGAAAGGAGGTTCACTTACCATTACGTGCGTGTTCTGTTCATGAAAATGTCGCCCAGGAAGAATCTGAAGTCACCGCTGGCAGGGTCTGTGCGAGCGCTCTATTTGGCACGCTGCCACGCAGCACATGGAATGAATAAGCCAAGTGTTCATGACATCAAGGCCAGATATGTCCAGGTAAGATATCATAAACGGTTCTCTTTCCTCGTTCTCTTTGTCGTCAAGCCGCAAATGTGCGCCAATAGCGACTTCAAAAACCTGACCTGCAGCACAAACATCTCTCAAAGATGAAGGCCACACGATCGTTTTACCTTGCATTCTTCGCCCTCTTCAGTGAGTGCTCAGCAAGGGGCTCGCCTACGTATTCCAGTCCGGATGTCTGCGCAGTAAGTCGTTTCGCTCAGAGAAGGCTCAACTGACCCAGCAGTTCGAACCGAATGCCAAGGTCTCCGACGCATGCGCATCATACACAGACTTGGACACGCTCAACAATCGACTGAATCCATACATCCGCAACCTTGCCAACAATACAGACTTCTTCTCATACTACAGACTCAACCTCTACAACAAGAAATGCCCGTTCTGGGACGATGAGAGCGGCACCTGTGGCAACTCGGCATGCGCTGTCAGGAAAGTCGAGAACGAAGAAGACATACCCGAAATATGGCGAGCGGAAGAACTGGGTAGATTGGTAGGGCCGAAAGCGCATCACCCTGGGAAGCAGCAGCAGAAAGAGCGAAAGCCACTCTCTGGCGAACTGGGCGACGTAGGAGAGAGTTGTATCGTGGAGTACGACGATGAGTGTGACGACAGAGACTACTGCGTGCCTGAAGACGAGACAGCTGCAGGAAAAGGCGACTACGTCAGTCTCGCGGACAATCCAGAGCGCTTCACAGGTTACGGTGGTGAGAGCGCACACCAGATCTGGGAAGCCATCTACCGAGAGAACTGCTTTTCGCGACCAGGAGAAGAGATTGGCTCGACGAGTCCGTTCTCGAACAATCAGCTGCTAGCTGTCAACGACTTCAAGCAGGTCATGCAGGCACATGGTGAGCCCGACGAATGTCTGGAGAAACGAGTGTTCTACAGGATAGTGTCTGGAATGCACGCATCGATATCGACACATCTCTGTGATCAGTATCTCAACCAGACGACTGGTGAATGGGCACCCAATCTGCAGTGCTACAAGGAGCGACTGCATCACCATCCGGAGCGTATCTCAAATCTCTACTTCAATTACGCACTCGTGCTGCGTGCGGTTGGCAAGCTGAAGGATTACGTTCGTGGCTACACCTTCTGCACAGGCGATAGTCAACAAGATCGCCAAACGCGCGAGATGATGTCCGAGCTGGCAGCTGCTATACCACCAGGTCCAAAAATATTCGACGAGAGTGTTATGTTTCAAGACACAACGAGCGGTGTTGAATTGAAGGACGACTTCAAGAATCGCTTCCGTAACATCAGCAGAGTCATGGACTGTGTTGGTTGCGATAAGTGTCGGTTATGGGGCAAGCTACAGACCAACGGCCTGGGCACCGCGCTCAAGGTGTTGTTCGAATTTGGCGGCGACCACGCGTCTGAGGATCATACACTTCTGCGACGTACAGAGCTGGTTGCCCTAATCAACACCCTCGACAAGATCAGTTCGGCGTTGAAAGCCCTGGAGAGGTTCCGAGTTCTTGCAACAGAGCTAGTGGAGACACCAACACTAGACGAACTCGAAGACCTTGAAGAGAGGTACGACGAACCAACACAAGCAACAGGAGAAGAGGAAGAAGGCGTGGCGAGCGCGTTCTGGGAAGAGCTTGATCTGGTCTGGCGAGCGTATGTCTGGGTGCTCAAGTCCTGGTTCAACGCGCCGAGACTGCTCTTCGACATCACTGCAAAAGAGACGATCAGGCTGTTTCAGTACTGGATGGGCAAGCCGGTACCTGAGCGGTCGTGGCAGTTCCGCGCCCCAAGCCATGAAGAGCTATAGCTTCAACCTTCATCGACAACAGCGGTGGGGAAGCTGGCATGTAGCGTTGGATGACCAACATAATTTGTGTGCCTCGGACGGCTGATTGAGACTTGAGATGAGGGGATTCGAGCATCAGATACAAGACGGCGATATCCAACCTGTGTAACTCTTGTATAACTCGTGCTCAGCCTTCATGTTGTATGAGACCAACACAGCTGGTGAAACACACACAACGAAGCGCGACGACGACGATTGGCTACCGCAAAGGAGCGCCACGCAAGCAAGCGCCAAGGCGTTGGAAACCTCCCCACCCAGTCAAATCAAGATCGGGACTGAGCATTTTCTGACACTCCATATCACCGCGGCACAGCAGCACTTCTTCTGCTGCAGTGGCTTTCTTTAGACCTTCAAAACTGTGCAGAAGCGTGCTTCGCACAGTACATACATTCTTTCACTTCCATTCACTTACTCGCCCGAGCTAGCTCTCAGGCGCGTAACCACTCTCCCTCTGAGACACAAAGTCACTCATTCTCAACCACCCACACCACTGCTAGCCAGGGTGTTCAAAACCCGCCTGACGACCTTCGATACGACTACCCAAACAGCAGGCCGGCCTGATAAAACACAACATGTCTCTCATGCGCTCTCTCACGACACGGCGCAAGCCAGAGGTCGCAGATACTCCAATTATGATCCGCCGAGCAGCGACTCAACGAGGTGGACGACCTGTACCTCGCGCACAGATCTCACCGCCTATCGCGCTGGTGTCAACGACGAACATGCTCTCATTTAACGCGCCCAACATCGCCGGCACCAAGCCGATCGAATACAACTCAAGCTCATCCAGCGAGGAGTCTGACGAGAACGTCAGTGTACACTCCCAGGACACCGATCCGACAGATCTTTCTTCAGCAGAGGCATCGCCAACATCAGCGAGCCACCTCAACCAGTTCTTCCAGAAGGAAGAGCTCAACTCGAGCGCAGACACTTCACCGATCCTGCCCAGCCGTGCACCATCTCACTCCAAGCTCGCTCACGAGACTCTCAGCAGACAACGATCCATCAATCGTGCTAGATCTCCCTCAGCGCAAGGCAGGATGCCAAAGTCTCCATCGATGCGCCCTCCAAGGTCGCCATCCGCTCAAGGCCGCGGTGTCAGCCGTACACGACTTCGAACATCAGGATCGGCGTTGCTGACTCCAACGCCTCACTTCATCGACTCGTCGCCAGAGAGCCCGTTCAGCAAGGAGATGGCACAGCT